TGCCAACCGATGTCAGTGGCGTTCTTGTTGTCAGTTACTATCCAGATTGCCTGAGTGAATGTCTGGAGGTGTAGGCACCTCGGAATGATTGTAGTAAGCTAGCGATAAGTCCCTTCCCCGTCCACCTTTATTCTTTTCTTTACGGCTTTGCTTTCAAATAAATCATGGTTGTACGGCAGTGAAACATCGGTGTTGAACACTGATGTCATGCTGTCGATGATGATGATGACCACAAAAGTATGCTGTCGATGATGATGATGATGATACCACAAAAGTTGTCCAGTTGAGTAATAGTTTGGTATATTACATCCGATCACGGTTTCACTCTCAAGAAGTTTGGAAGTTTGACAAAAGATTCACTGTAGAGGAGATGCCTGTGGGTACAATCCGCTAAATTGGGGATATTGCTACACGGTGAGCTGCTAAGGTATCTTTTGATTTTCCTCACTCGATTAGTTACATCTGATCCCCTCTGAAACGAAAACTTCAAAATTTATATGTGATTTATCACCGACGAAAATACGGAAGAAAATACAACCTTATTGATTATGTCAAGTTGATGTTATTACACTTTAATTTTCTAATTTTCCAGTAGACAACTTGAAATTCGCATCCGAACGGTATTCAGCACGTGAAGGCTTCGGTGCAAGGAGTTCGTATCCCGTTACATTTGATTGTCATCAAGTTTTGCTAGCCATCCTAGTGTTACTGAAATCTGCTCCATCTTCCTTACAAGCCATGATATCATATCTGGACCAAGCCTTTTTTGTTTGAGTCGTCTCATTACCTTCCTGCGGTGAGTAAGATGGCCTAACTAGGTGCCACCAGGTCGGTCTCAGTGGTTTTGGCTGATCACTGGAAGCAATTTCATCCGCTTCGGTAAGAACCAACCAACGATAACGAAATGTTGTCCGGGTAACGTGAACTGATTTCGGAATATCATGATCGCTACTGGGAATATCTGCGCCATACTCGGTACAAATGTGGTCGAATAGATTGTGTGCTGTGTAATATTAATTTAGACCAATTTATTGGTGGAACAACACCAATCACAGTCTTTTTACTAACTAGAGGTTTTGATTACCGGGGGATGACCTTTGTCAGGAGTACAATAAACCGAATCATAAGTCAGAACAAAGTTGACCAATGAAAAACACTCATTTTCATTTGATTTTGTCGGAAGACTCATCCGGAATCCAGCTAAATCACTTGTGTATGAGGTTAAGTTCACTGGCACGATCAATCTTCAGTAGGCCTGCAATTGGCCAATCATCACTTGCGTGGGCTGAAGTTGGAGTCGCGCTTATTGGGTAACGCTTACGAGCCCGGACCACGCAGCGGATATATGGGCTAACACTCGCTTGGATTGGTTCGGGCCAGTGGTGTGTGTGGGGTGCCAATGTGCCCGCACAGCACCATTCTGGGAGGCTTTTTAGGCCCCTGTGAATTCAGCAGCTGCGGAATGACTTCATAAGCAACGTTGCAGAATAGAATCAGGGGTGTAGAGCTGGCCCCAATAAACTGAGCTGAAACGTGATGCGTGGTTCTCACTAAGAGCGGATTCATCAGTAAAAGTAGTAGAAAACCCAAATCAACTAACTTTCACACTATTCCTACACCCCACATAATTAATATAGCACACAGACGAACAAAGATGTCAACAATAGTCAAGAGGGATCTTCATTCGAAGCTGACCGGAAGATCTAGACTCTAGGTATGACGCAAATCATATAAGTTGCCTCCTAGCCCATCCGTCTGAACATCTGATGACGAACAGAAAAGAGCCTTCAGACGACACATAACACCGACTTTGTTTGATAGTACGAAGAGATCATGCAAATTGTTTCCCCTTCTGAATTGAATCTCGATCAAACTCGTGACCTAGTTACTTAACTTGACAAGGCTTTTGGGTTAAAGGGGAAACGTTGCCAAGCAATAGATCCATCTACTGTTTTACCAACTTTTTCGAAAACGTAGGCATTTCTATTGATCTTGTGGATCTTTTCCAGAAAAGCCCCGCCACCAATGTAAAAAGTGCATGTGCGAAAAGTTAAGCCCCGATACTTTTTGCCAGCTTCAACTTAATTTACGAACACAACCTTGACCTATTTTTGATGAAAAAATGCCTTATCCGCATCTTGGGTCATTTTGTGCCAAATTTTTTTCCGTTCGGACGTAAGAAAGAAATCGGTCTTCTAAAGGGAATTTGGCTGAAGTGGTCTTGGATGAAGTTTAGGACAGTAATTCTTATC